AATAGATCTTGATGCCAAGGCCCTTCCCATTAATGATATTGGATAGTGACTTGCGGATATTGGCATTAAGATTAACAACTGCTATTTCCTGGGTTGATACCATTTCAAAGCATTGTGCATTTTGTCTTGCACTACTGGCTTGAGGATTTTCATTGATGCTTCAGCTTATGGCGCAAGTGTAGAATGCCTTCAGAAATAGATTGACACCTCAACATTCGAAGTTGCAATTGCAATTATAGCACCATTGAAAATACAACGATCTGAATTCACGTAATTTGAATCGGAATCGACCAAATTAATAGTCCGATTGCAAAGGAAATACACCCAGCTAGGTTAGAGTGAGATGTATTGCACCAATTAATGTTGATTGTCGTTAATATCTGCGAAAAGATTAGTGTAGTTAAAATGGCACTAGTTCGCTCAACACATCTGTCCACTTTTATCTTTGTCAACAAACAAAAATATTCACACGTACTGGCATTTTGTTGTTTGCATAGATCTGGTTGATATGGTGTGTTGTAATTGTAAACTTCAAATATACAATCTGGTCTTTAACTCCTCTCACGCTTGCCTGACTCACGCTTGCCTGACTTACCTCTCAAGCTTTCTAATAATTAGGAGCAGAAGGTATGAGCATTTATAGTTTTGAAATACTACCCGCATCTCGGAGTTGAGCCTACTGACGAAATAGTAAACGAATGGTCCCCCAGGTGCATCAGACGAGGCTCACCTTAACCTCCTGAGCAAGAAATTGATCTCTTTGGACGGGATTCGACGATTCCCAGTGACAAAGGCGTCAAGTTCTGTCTCAGGACTGTGGATCTTAAGCCTTTTACTACTCTCTTTCAACCTCTTCAACCGTGATTTTTGAAGTAGTCCGGATTTTCGACTGCGCTCACATTAAAATTGAATTGCTTGTGGAAATTAATTATCGCATTTAGATCTATCAGAGACTTTGCTTTTATATCGATTGATGTCTTCGAATGAATTTTATGCTATGTTGTCTCCAAGGAAAAGAAATTGAAGAAAAGATGGATAGGCGTAATTGATGCCAAAACAGCGTAATGAGCCAAACTCTAACAGGGCAACGTTCTTCGCTTTTGTATTTATCCTGCATGTTTGCTTTGGCAAAATATGTGCATGCCGCTCATTCTCACTTTTGAGCTTGCACAAAACAGTTTATTACGTCGTTATGACCTCTTTCACTCTTTGCTCGTTGCTAAAACTGACCTCAAGTAATGAAAGAGAAGATCTATTTTAATGATGATGAAAGTGGAGTGATAATCACGATTGCTGCAACCGTCAATTCACCAGGCATCACTGACACGTGGATAGTTACAGAATAAAGCCCGTGATTGCACTTCACGGGTTTTGAAAACCCTCGTAACTATATATTCCAAAATAATTTCAGGTTAAAAATGCTCAACACGTTTTCATTACGTTAAATAGCCTATATAGTCTCAAAGATACAAGATCTACTCATTGCTATTTGGAGATAACGTTTTGTTCAAACAAACCCATATTAAAGATCCACTACCACCACCACCACCACTAGCTTCATTCTCCGCTTCACGTTTTCTTCTTTCATGCGCCGGTTCCAGACGTGTCTGCATCTTGCTTTGACTTGTATAATACTTTACACAAATATCCTCGTAAGTCATTTTCCTTTCGAAATCTCGCAACATGTCCATCCAAACCGCCGCATCTTCCAAGTTAACATTTGTTCCATTGGTCCTTCCCAGCGACCTGGAAGTTGTTGGCGATGCTGCGGCTAATCAATAACTGGTCAGACCTTACTGATGCAAATTTAAAGCGAGAATCCAACATTGTGTATAATCGCAGTACCACCGCTTTTGCACACGTGTCAAATCGCGCATAAGGTTTTGGTTCACTGGTTGGTTTAACCGCAGCTGTCGACCAATAAAATCCTCATCTTTTGACCGATTCAAAAACTCAGTTAATAACCTTATTACATCAAGATCTCCAATTTCAAGACATCCACAAAATGTTGACAATGGTGAAACTGGGTCGCTTTCCATGGAATGTACTTGACAATGGTGAACCTCGGTCGTTTGCCAAAATTAAACATATGAAAGTAACCCCATACAATGAGATGGCGCCATGGATTGGTGAGAAACCAGGTCAGCCTCTGGTGGGTTTCACAAGTATTCCAAGACCAACCCACATTACATTTACCAACACATTGATGGGTGCCACGGCTTGTTAAGCATTCACAACCTGGACGTTTGACGCTGTTCTCCGTGATTTCCTTGCAGGGTGCCGTTACACCACCAAGAAGGCAGATCTACTCCATGGACTGCCTTGTCCGAGTAAACTGTTTGAATAATTCGATCATGAACGGCATCCTGTTTCTCGGTAATGTTGGTGTAAATTTCATCAAGAGTAGCCACTCATCCTGAAATTGATCATCATTCCCTCAGATTGCCAAATCCGTAAAAGATATAGAAAATAGAAAAGAGGCGGAGATTGCGATCAGAGATGGTCAGATTGGTTGGAGTTGCGTGAGGGGTTGGATTTGTGCAACTATGGTGGTCAATGATTGTGTGTAGCGGGTGTTTGGGATTAGGATAGGAGTGAGGCGCAACTATTGGTGGAATGGTGCGGCATGCCAACAACACTCCTGAATGCATAATGGCAAAGTCATGGGAGGCTAACCCTAAACCAAAGTCACGGGAATGACTTAAAGGCTTAAGTTGTAAAACAGTTAAAGTGATGGCGCATTATTTATGGGAAGCGTGAAAGATCATTTAGGTGGAGTGATGGAGGGGAACATGTTAACAATTGAGCCGCTATGGGGGGTTAGGATTCTCGTAGTTGTATTTAAACGTAGCATATGGACTTTGGTTTTCCTCTTTTTAGTATTTTGAATACATACAAAGTCAGAATTTACTGTGTAAAAATCCTTGACATCGAGCTCCTTCCTATGTCATTTCCCATCCTTTGTCCTTGTTGTAGTTGTGAATGTTGTTGTTGTTGCTTCATGACAGTACTAGTCCTACTGCTGTATGATGTCGTCTGATGATCATCATGAGGATAATGTTGTTGTTGTTGTTGTAGTTGTTGTTTAATGAGGTAGTCTGATGATGATAATGCTGTTGTCGGTGTTGATCTTGTAGTTATTTTCTTGTGCTCTTGTGAAGCTATTGCTTCGTTGTTTGGTGATGGTCTTGTGTCCAACGTCGTTTTGTTATTTCATGATACGATGCTTTGATAGTTTGCGTGCTTCTGCTGTTGTTTCTGCTCTTGTTGATAGTTGTTTGATATCGTTGTTATTGATGTATTGATAAAATGTTTACATTTCCGACAAAAATTACCAAACCTCCCACCTTTTGAAGGATGTCCTTACTCCTGACTCCTGTCAGACAAAGGTCACAGTACCATCTACTCCAGGCTTCCGATTTGCGCGAGCAACCACATTGGAGTGTGAATACGTCAGTCAATACGCATACCATTCATGATCAGATATTTGTTCCGCTTATCTTTTTCGTTGTCGAACTATTTTTTCCGATTATAGTCGCACTTACAAATTCATCTATCTCGACTGATATACATCCACCCAAGGTGATTCTGCCTTAAATCCAGGCGTCTTAATGATTGATACGCACCGAGAACCAAACTGTTTGTTGCAACATGTGAATGTTATTGTGTGTAAGGTAGAATATTTCCAGTCAAAACGTTCGATCACCACTAGCCTCAAAAAATGCGAATATCTCTGACAATATACAACCTATCTAGATTATTGAAATATCAAAAGATGCGCAATCAAAACGGCTTTCGAATGGATGCAGCAAAAACTGGGAGAATTGAGAGTGATTCCATAGATTTACACCCTATGACTGATCATGAAGATATGGGTCAAAGCTGCAAAAAAAAAAAAATTGTCGCGAACCAAACAGGGTGCTCCATGCGCGGATTGAACGCGCGATCTTCTGCTTACGAGGCAGACGCCTTGCCACTGGGCCAATGGAGCCTTTTCTTTCCTTGTTCGCGACTCTGTAATGATACCCATGCGTGCAATATT